AGGACAAATCCTTTTGAAAAGGAAGGGGATGATATGATTCAGGAGTCGAGCCTGACGAAGGTGAGTACGAGACGAGATCCTTTGATAGTTGATGACGGGCCAATAACGCGATCAAGGGCAAAGCAAATGAAATAAGCGATGGGATTGCTCATTCAAGAAACCCTTGATGGAACCATGTTCGGTACTCAAAATGGAGCAACTTTTATGTTCGGGTCGAAGGCCGAATCAACTTGGATCAATTTGTTATCAAGCGACGAAATCGGAGACTGAAAACAAGCCTGTGCGACCGCACAGCTAAAACACCATGCGACTGCATGGAGGCATATCGAAACTCAAGATGCATTTTTGGTTGAACCATGCGACCGCATGAAAATACACCATGCGGCCGCATGGTTCAAAAAATTTGGCGAATTTTCTAATTTTGGCAATTTTCCATATTTTGTTAGTTTTTTATTCTTTTCCATATTTTGGGGATTATGATCGACTTTTGCACGATTTTTACCTAGTTTTTAGGTTTAGTATAAATAGGAGTTTTCATTTAATTGTTAAAAACTTTTGACATTATCGATATTGAATTAAAGTGAGGCGTATTGTCTTCTCTTCATCGTTCTTCATTGAACAATTTCGACCTTATCAAGTGTTAACTTGTGGCGTTCAAACAACCGGATTTAATTCTTGGATTGCGTGATCAAGGGGTCTTTCAAGCGTCACTCTTGTTAGGTTTTTTTGTTCGACTTTCTTTTGGGTTAATTCTAAACTCTTGGATTAATTTGGCTTTCTTGGGTTCGTCAATCTCGTTGTGGGTTTCGTAGTCAATATTGCTACGGGATTTGCAGCAGTGGGCCTGCGGTTCAATGGAAAATCGACGATTTTTTTGGGGTTTTTTCCGAGTCAGCAGCATAGGTAAAATATTAGTTGATTCAAACCAGACCATGTTCCGATTCGACGGTTTCTGGTTCGAACCGGCGGTCTGGTCCGAGTCTAATAAATATGATATTAAGTCCCCCTTTGACATCATTTTCTAAAATTCATTATTTTTCTCACATTTTATGAAATCCACAACTTTTACATCACACACACCGACCACTTATCGAATAAGGCAGGATGGGGATTTTACCAAACTAACCTCCAAAAATTTGTATTTTGAGAAACACATTTTTACACTTCACATGCCCTTGGTGTAAATAATATATTATTTTTTAAATCACAATCCGTGTCAAAGTTAAGCCACCATTTGGAGTTCTCACATGGGCCAACCAAGTATCCAACAAGGCAGCACGGAGATTTTACCAAACTAACATTCAAAAATTTGTATTTTGAGAAACAAATTTTTTATGCTTCACACACACGTTGTGTAAATAATATATTATTTATTAGAATTCTAATTATAGGAAGTTAGTCATGTTATATTAAGTCCCACTTTGACATCATTTTCTAAAATTCATTTTTTCTCACATTTTATGTAATCTACAACTTTTACATCACACAGACCAACCACTTATCCAACAAGGCAACATGAGGATTTTACCAAACTAACCCCCAAAATTCGTATTTTGAGAAACACATTTTTACACTTCAAAGTTAAGCCACCATTTGGGGTTGTCACGGGGCCAACCATTTATCCAACCATGCAGCACAGGAATTTTACTAACCTAACCTCCAAAAATTTGTATTTTGAGAAACACATTTTAACACTTCATACACTTGTGGTGTAAATAATATATTATTTCTTAGAATTTTAATTATAGGAAGTTAGTCATATTAAATTAAGTCCCCCTTTGACATCATTTTCTAAAATTCATTTTTTCTCACTTTTTATGAAATTCACAACTTTTACATCACACGGACCAACCACTTATCCAACAAGGCAGTATGGGGATTTTACCAAACTAACCTCCAAAAATTTGTATTTTGAGAAACACATTTTTACACTTCACACACCCTTGGTGTAAATAATATATTATTTCTTAAATCACAATCCATGTCAAGGTTAACCCACCATTTGGGGTTGTCACGTGGGCCAACCACTTATCCAACAAAGCAGCATAGGGATTTTACCAAACTGACCTCCAAAAATTTGTATTTTGAGAAACACATTTTTACACTTCACACACCCGTGGTGTAAATAATATATTATTTCTTAGAATTTTAATTATATAAAGTTAGTCATGTTATATTAAGTCCCCCTTTGACATCATTTTCTAAAATTCATTTTTTTTTTTCACATTTTATGAAATCCACAACTTTTACATCACACAGACCAACCACTTATCCAACAAGGCAGCACGGGACTTTACCAAACTAACCTCCAAAAATTTGTATTTTGAGAAACACATTTTTAAACTTTACACACCCTTGGTGTAAATAATATATTATTTCTTAAATTTTGATGATAGGAAGTTAGTCTTGTTATATTACGCCCCCATTTGACATCATATTCTAAAATTCATTTTTCTCACATTTTATGAAATCCACCACTTATACATTACATAGGCTAATCACTTATACAACGAGGCAGCTCAGCGATTTTACCAAGTTAACCTCCAAAAATTTGTATTTTGAGAAACACATTTTTACACTTCACACCCCCTTGGAGTAAATATTATATTATTTCTTAAAATTTTAATTATATGAAGTTAGTCATGTTGTATTAAGCCCCTATTCGACATCATCTTTTAAAACTCATTTTTTTTTCTACATTTTATGAAATTTACAACTTTTATCAAAATATACTAAAAATATGAGTTTCAGCTAAACTATACAAGGGCTAAATCTATAGTTGATTGCATATGGGTTCCAAGCCTTTAAAAGTTGTGGTTGTGGAGTCATGAACCTTTGATTTCTAGCATCAGGCGTCAGAAAACCTTTCAAACTTCTGCACCTTAAGGTCATCTCCAACCTTGCACTAAAATTTGCACCAAAATTTTTCACCAAACTAAAAATTATATTTAACCATTACACCAAAACTTACAATAAATAAACACTGTTTAATCATTTTTATCCCTTTTTTTCTTAATAATTTATTTATTTGAAAAATTATTTATTTTACAAATGCATAAATTATTAAATAAATAATTTATATATATATATATATATATATATATATATTGTATTCTTATTTTAGTTAATTCATTAATTATTATTTTTTTACATTTAAAATATTTTTTAAATGCAAATAATAAAAATAAAAAATAATTATTATAATAATAAAAATAACAATAATTATTGTGTTGAAAAATATATAATACAGATGGTACTAATACCCTCCAATTACTTTGGCAAGTGGAAAGAAAGACAAATTTGACTTTGCACCATTTGGTACAAAATAGTGTAAACTTGGGTGCCACATTAGAGAGCTTTTGCACCAAATTTTTGTGAAATTTGGTGTTTTGGTGATAGCAATGGAGATGCCTTAAAGGTCTTTTGGTGACAAAATTTGTTAGTTTAACTATTAAAAATGTCAACTTTTGAGTAAATGATCGTTGATTCAAAACAAACAAATATAGAAAAAAAAATTGAAGAAAGATAAAACAATAGAGAATGAAAAATAAAACATAAAGAAAAAATTTTAAATCGAAAAGACGAAAACACCCCCAAAGTGAGGTGCGCAGGGGAAGTAGATAATTAAGAGGGTGTTTGAAAGACATTTTTATGTAAAAATATATTTTTGAATAGTAAATTGATGGGAAATGTGTGGTTGAAAAATAAGAAAAAGTTTTTGATTTACGTGTAATATTATTTTAATAAAAAATGTGTGATTGAAAAGAGGAGAGAGAAAAATATATTATGAAAAAAATGGGTACCAAACGGGATCTAAATCTATCCTTATTTTTCCTTCCGTTTTCGTTTTTGTTTCTCTTTTATGTTCTTTATTAATTTGTTTTAATTCTAATGAAAGATAAAATATGACTTTATGTAAAATTTTGATTTTTTAACTATTGATGACGATATTAGTCACAAAAGGACATGGAGCAAATGTTTGAGAATTTTGAAACTATAGGAGCTAGAAAATAAATGTTTGAAACCCTATCGCAATAAACTTTAAAGGTACAGGACCCCAAGTATAATTTAGCCAATAATTTAACTTATTAGGTAAAAAATTACGTATAAGTTAAAATAATCACTTATATGTAAAGTTTATGTACAAATAAATTAGAAGTAAAAAATTCACTTTATAGGTTTAACAAATTTCTTATAAGTTAAATATTGTCATAAACCTTTTCTTTCTAATGACTTAGATAACCTCTAATCCACCTTATTATCACCCCGTTTGGTAAAAATTAAAATCTAAATTTTAATTTAAGTGAAAGTAAAAAATTAATTTTAATCATATATTTTATGAAGTCCACAATTTTTCAATTACATACTTCATTTAACTTTTATTAAAATTTACTAAAAATCTAATTTTAATCCCAATCCATATTTTCCCTAACCATAATCTTTTCTAATCCTATACTATGTATCAAACCAGCCATCAAAGGACATGCACAAACAAATTTTAGTGCCGTGAAGTTGATCATAAAAATCATTGTAAATTGTAATACTCGCTCAACAGCATTTGCAAAACATTTTGTTTTTTTATGGAAATGTTATATGTACAATCGGAGTTGACCACCACACACAGGGTACAATGAATAACCGAGGTTGTCAACTTCAATTGTACAACTAGCAAAATTCATTTTTATAATACAATCCCCTCTCAAAATTTCCAGGGTTCATATGAAATGGTTATGGATCATGCTACTCGTACACCGACACCCCGATGTACCGACTCCCTCACAATAGGGGGGTCCACGATTTTTTAATTTATTGTGGGCCCCCTTTTGTTGTGAGGGATCGGTGACACGGTCAACCCCGGTGTACAAATATCAAAATCCAATGGTTATTTTAAGGTTTGTCCGTCAACTCCAGAGATTTTAGTATTTTACCCTTCTTACAATGTGTTCTATATTTGTTTCAAGCTCGTCTATAAATAATTAATGGCTACTGATGAACCCATAAGCACGAAAAAAGAGAGTGAATCATCTACAGAAGATCAAGAAAATAAACGAAATCCCAACATATTTGTTTAGATAATTAGTCACCCTTACCCACATAATGTTCAAGGGCCATGATGAAGAAGCACAAAGGATAAAAAGAGAAGCAAACAGGATTAGGAAAAGATGCAGTCTCTTACAGAAAAAGCTTGATTGTTCGTCTCCTACTTAAGAAAAACTATAATCCAACGGAGGGACGCTGCTTTCTGGCGTGCTCGGGAATCAACTTCACCAGGGTTTCCGCTGGTACGCCCTTCAGCTCTGAATATAAGAATGTGGGAATTTCAACAAACTAAAGTTTAACATTAAAAGAGAGAAGAAAATGACAGGCTAGATGTATTCAAGAACTTCATACCATGCGGCTTAAAATTGAATAATGGGGGAAGAAAACGTCCATTTGGCAGGCGGGTATTTGGATCACGTAGCTCATCAAAGAAGGGGTGGATCAAAGCATCCAACTGCATAAAAAATTAGATTAGAGGAGTCAATTTTCAAAATACGTCCAGAATTAAAAAATTGCAGAGAGAAAGAGGCATCATGAACGATCGTACGAGATTCTAATAAAAACCAGCACCAACAAATTGAGAAATGTGAAAAAAAAGTTCAATTCTGGCAGCCTCTCACTTTCAAATATGGGATAGTGTTAAAAAATTATTTTGATCCATTTTCAGTAGTGAGAACAACCAAATATGCAAAAAATATTAATAATCCAACCCAGCCAACAGAAAAAAAAATGAAAAATGAAAAAGAAAGAGACATCGAAAGAAGAGAAGAAAAGCAAAACAAGATGGAAGGAAGAAAGCAAGATTTTCAAATACTTACAGCTGAGCAACGCAAATTAGGAGAGTATTGTAGCAGTCTTGAAACAAGATCAACAGCTTCAGGAGGCATGTATTTGTGGAAAATCTGGTGCAGAACAAAGAAATAAATGATATGGTGAAACAAAATAATAAAATAAATAAATTGACAAAATGAGCATAAATCGATCAGGTAAAAATACCTTGTGCCACGGATGAGCTTTAATTTGTGGGAATTTATATTCGGTATAGTTAGGATTCATGCATTTTATTTCCTCCCTTGTTGGAGTACCCAAAACCTGATTCAAATGGATTATCGAGGCATAGGAAGCAAATGAGGAACAATAATAACTTCAAAGATAAAGCATTCATTTAAATCAAAATTAACAATAACAACTTCCAAAACCAGCTTGAACTAATTCAGACTATCCAGAAATGGCATCGAATTATGAAATTATTTTGTATTATCTTGTCACACTTTTTGAGATATATAAGTCACTAAGAACCAATCCCCTGCCTACAGGTCCCACACCACTCCACTCTCACCAGGAAACAAAGGCTGAAAATGCAAAGCCAACAGTACAATGTAAGAGAAAACCCTTGCTGCCAGCATTGTAAACTTGTGGAAAAAGGAATAAACCACCTGTCCAAGAAGTAGCTCAGCAAGCACACAGCCAGTGGACCAAATGTCAATAGCTGTAGTATACTCCGTCGCTCCAAAAATAAGCTCAGGTGCTCTATAATATCTAGAGCAGATGTAAGAAATATTGGGTTCCCCTTTAACCTATCAAGAACCATGGAAGAAAGTCATAAAGCATCCCAGTTTCATAAAAATAACCCCATCCTTATGATAGCATTATACATACCAAAACTTTGGCACTCCCAAAATCACATAATTTAACCTGGTGGGTATGTGGATTCACCTGCGAAAGGTCATAAAGGTATTAGCTTGAAAAAGGGATCTTCTATGGGGCAAGCAAGTTGAAAGGGGCAACCAAAAGCAGATAAACACACTTATGAAACAAGTCAATCTTCCAAATCAAAGCACTCATAATAGTGGCATGTCTGCATATAAAGGATTTGATTTCTCATAAAAGTGGTATGTCAGCATAGCATTTCAGAAGGGCAGCTCCATATCGAACAAATGACAAAGAATGATTCATAAAGCAGTCTCCAAGTTTATTGGAAATAAGGTATAGCCACTTCTTGCGGTTAGTTAAGTGTGTGTGTGTCCCAAATGGCATGAGTGAATTGTATATCAGTGACCAAGTTATGATGCTTTCTGAAAGGCTCTGGCTAAACTGAATTTCCAATTAAAAAAAAAAAAAAAAAAAAAAGGGACTCTGATTGGCATATAATCAAAATGCTATATAAAACAACTATGAACTAACCAACCTAAGAGTTCTATTCAGTTTCACCCAAGAAATAGCAAAAACCAATGGTGCTCACTTTGACAAGTAGAGTTGATTTTCATCACGTGTATTTGATGTAAATTCAAACATGAGAAGAAAGAAAAGAGGGCGAATTACACTTGATTTATCCTTTTTACAGGTATAAAACAACCAAAGGGAAGTTCTACAGCAAACATAACGAATGATCCTTAATTTCCACAACTTCAGTCCAATAAATTCAGCATAGAATCAAAACAAAATAGCATGAAATATACCAGTAAGTTCTGAGGCTTGATGTCCCTGTGACACACTCCAATACCACGGTGGATATAAGACAATGCTCTGAAAATCTGCCATATAGCAGCATAGTCAAATGTTCGCACAATATCAAACTTAAACAAAAAACTCAGGCAAATTCCATTTCTGTATACATCGAGGTAACACAGGCATAACAGTCAAAAGTCAGGTGTTCCCTAGATAAGCGATAAATAAAGTAATAAACATTAAACCAGCAATAAACATTAAACCAGCACTCAGCAAAGAAACTATCAAAGTTAGAGGACATATAACATAATTGGAGTCATAAGTTGTATCCCTGAAATTGATCGTGCATAAAACTCATCAACATTAACATGCAAGTAGGAAAAACTGCAAATATTTTTTTATTTTTTATTTTTATTTTTTTTTTGAGATTTGAAGCGCAAGAATCAATCATATCAATATAGAAAAAGCAAGTTCCATTGAACATAAACAAAACTCAGAATAAGAGAGCTCCACTTAAGGCAAATTAAACCGTGGCATATAACTAGATA